CCCATTTCCAAGCCGTAGAGACAGCGTTTGTCCGAAGACAGTTTCCGTGGTCACATGGCCAGTGCGACTTAGACCCGGAATGCTGTTCACCTTCCCACCGAGATGGTACCTATTTATCTACTCGCATTTACATGCTTTCGAACTGCTAGGTTGGCGAGGAGCTGGGACAAAGTGACGGGAGCTCACTTCGTTGCGTGGATTCGATCTTACGACTGCTGGTCTTCTGACCCTGCAGCATACAAACGCTTCTGCGGTTTAGCCCACAGCGCCACCACGTCCCATTTAAATAATTTTAAATACTTTTAATTTCAAATGTTGGAAGTTATTGTTCTGGAATCTTGTTGATGATTTGTCATAGTTGTGTTATTGATTATTTTGAGTCTGATGGCCACTGGCTAATAATCTAATCCAATCTTATTTTATCTTACCTTATCTTATCTACCTACCTACTTGCCTGCCTGCCTGCCTACCTACCTAGTGGGCAGGTTTACTGGCTTCTAGTTTCCCCAGTCTTCACCAAGCATTGCTGTTAAGCCACCCATTTGATCCAAATTCTATTGAAATTGTGATAGTTTCACTTTACGTACATTCAAGATATAATCTTAAATTGCTGTTGTGTCAACTGAGAGGTTTTAAGATTTGGAAGAAGCCCTGTGATGCTAGGGAAGTGGAAGGGATGCTCATGCTATGGAAAATATACATGGAATGACTGAAACAGGGCAGAATTGTGGGTGGGAAATGGATGGCACCAGTGAGAAGCATGTTTGTACAATACTCCCTACTTCTTCAATCCATGGCCCCACTGATAATGCGTCAACCCTATTCAGGCATTACTGAATCTGGTGTTTTGAATATGTTTTGAGGGAAGTACCTAAACTCAGCTCCTCAGACACGTTCAGCACTTAGTCTGAAGAGGGAAGGTTTCTGCTTGTGTGTAAGATCCACACACAAACAATAATTCTGGAAAATGTGCATTCATGCGCACATAGAGAACTTACTGTATGCAGGAGCAGGAACCCCCTTTTTTTCCAGATGGTGCTGAAAGCATGAAGAAAGTGATGATGGAAGGTGAGGTGGAGTTGGGTACCCCTTGTTCATATTGCTGGATTCAGTAATACCCAAACTGAGATGTTATGCTAGCTGTTATATCAGACCTCATACATAATTTCCCTCATTGATTTCAATGAGTAGGGCAATTGCACTCATAAGTAAGTTGATAGCTACCCCTCTCATTTTGCCACAGCATTAGGATATGATGTAACTCACCACTATAGATGTGCAAGGTTATTTTCTTGGACTATAACTCCCAGAATATCAAAGCTAGTAGGGCCATGTAAACTGGGTTATTCTCGGAACTGTATTCAAATATATATATTTCCCCCAAAAGCACTCAATCAAAGCACACCCCACCAGTATCTCGACCTCACGTTGACTACAGCTGAGGTGTCATGACATATGTTACTCAGCTGTATCTTTCTGGACCCATCCTGTATATCTTTGAATCTCACAAGGGGGATATTGGTAATGGGGATCTATAGACAAAGGGCACTGGGGTTGCCAGTGGGGCATTTTGCACAAAATGACCTGTTCTGATGACATGAGTTGATTCACTCTAGAAACATCAGAAGTACTTCACTTGCAGAATTCACAGAAATACTGAATACCAAACTCCACTCCAACAACTGCATCCATACAGTCAAACGAGGTAAGGAGTAAACAAGTTGCAATGTATATCTGCTGCACCTGTTTCCTTTGCCTTTGGTTACCTACTTGGCCAAGGCAAAAGTGATCAGAAATGATTGACACCCTCCATGCATCAGATATAGTTTATCTTCATGGCCAGCATAGTCTCACTGGTGGGTAAAAGTGGTATTTCCAGGAATGCTAAGCCAAGTTGTTGATTTTAATCCTTTATATATATACACACACACACTATGACATTCCACTAGTTCTCATGTAACTAGAGTATAAGATTGTACTATCACTGCAGTAATTGTGTCTGGGGTTGGCTATAATCTTGGAAATAAACATGATGGATGAGAAGATGTCCACTGCTTTTGAAGTCCATCACTTCACTGCTCAGAAAATTTACTGAAATGCTTAAGGATGAAGCAAGACCCTGTATATAAATACACAATTTCTTATTCACTTTTTATTTTCTTAAGTCATACTCAGACTTTTCTATAAGCTTGAATTAGCAGTTAACAAGTTTTACTGTTGCTGTTTTTGAAAGCAGAATCCTTCAAGTGTGTGGCAGGGCATTTTCATTTCAATGATTTGGGGTTTCATTTGCTATCCTTGTTTTATAAGGATAAATCAATAACAGTTTTTCTTTGTTCAAGATCTCTAGACTATTTGTAATAAAAATTGGTAGGGACTCCTCTGTGACAGAGGTTGGGTATATGAATCTGTTGAGGCACTGAATTAAGGTCCATCCTAGCCCTGCCACAAATGTGTGCAAACATCAAGCCTGTGGGATTGATTTTATTAGATCCTTGAGATCCATCAGCTGGAGCCTGATGCAAAACAAGTATATGTAGCATTAAAGAGTTCTGAACTCAAGAATTTGTTTTGAGGGACAGAAATTGAATGATGCTTACAGTCCTTTCACACAAAAATACATGCCTGGTTACTGCAAGGTAACCTTCCATGGTTTACCTGTATAACTTGATATGCATGCTGGGGTGTGTGCCTCTGTCACTTTGTTACTGCTTCTGTTAAATTATTGTGAGTCATGAATCCTTGGCATTCTGCCTCAGGTTACCCAGAAATCTGCTGGCAGATCCAAATCTACTTTCTGCTTTCCTCCACCCTGGTCTGTTGTTCTCTAACTCTAAAATAATCAAATTATTGGCATTACTGTGTAACCACGCAGGAAAAATAAAGGCAAATAAGCAAGTTTTATTAGTTTATGGGGACATGGAGTTAGCTGAGCATTATCTACACCACTCCTTTAATCTTCTTGACTGGGGTAGAACTGTTCTTTTTATGCAGGCTGCACTCTGCCTACACAGTTAGTTATTATCCTGAAAAGTTGAAGTGATCAACTAGCTAGGAGTAAATAAAGGGCTACTTTGTAAATGGCTCCAATTCCCTTCTTTCCACTATTCACCCAATCTACACTTTTCATTTGCTAGTGAGTGAGGCTGGTCTATATTTCCGTCTCCAAAGAAAAAGCTGTGTTCAGCTATTGTTGCAAAACCAACATAGAGCCCTGTGTCAATTTAACGATTAAACATTTTATGATAGCATGAGATTTTGTGGACCGTGGAATAGCAAAAGCTCATGTTATAATAAATAGGTTGTATATATTACGCCGTTTGACTTTTGTTGTCTTTATTTCAAGTACATATGTTGGTGTTATTCTACAGCTGTGTATGAAGCTATGTGTTATTTTTAAAATGTATTGGAGCAGCATAATGTCATACACCCCCAACATGGTTTTTTTTTGTGAATGCTAATTTTCAAAGTACCACAGTAACCGAAAAGAAAGTTTCAGAAAGAAGCACCTCAATGCTTGTCACGCAATACTGTGTTAGCTTCTTTGGCGTTGTCCATGGTGCTGATGTGTGGTTTTCCTTTCCACTAGTACTTTACTCTGTTCTGTGAAGGGCGTGTTATGACAGCTTTGATAGCAAAGAATCCCAAGGCCCAGAACTTTGTCTGATAAACCATCAATGGCATATCTTTCAATACCACCCCCCCCCAAAAAAAACTTGCTTTTGGGATAGATCTCCCTTCCCTGCATGTTCTATGGAATTGAAGTGAATATTCCCTAGGTCGCCATGGTGATAGTGAGCTCTGTTCCTTGGAGCATGACAAATTAGGCATCACCTCATTAGCCGGAAGACTTCTCTAGCTAGCTGCTCTGCCATCAGAGAACTGTTCCTCCTCGAAAGATTCAAGAAAGGTCTGCATGATTGTGTGACATTGCGTCACAGTGCCACACATCTTTAGTTCCTTTTATGTTCCCCACCACCAACTACCACCACCAAACACTGTGTGGCCATTGCTCAGCCATGTTCCTAAGGCTGCGTGAGATCCAAGGCCATGGAAATTAGGCAGGATTTTGCCACCAGCTTCAGCGGGGATGAGAATGGGGTTTCCAGCCCTGTCTTTTCCAGTCCAAGCATCACATGAATATTCCCTCCTATCCAATGGACACTGCTGGACAAAGCCTCTTCGGGCACATTGTTTTGTTTTCTCAAAATGCTTTACACGTGGAATTAAGATCTCCAATCCATTAATCATAGAAGGGGCGTTCAAAAGGAAGGGGAGAAAAGAAGGAAAAGAAAAGGGGAATGGGTGCAAATCTGTTCTTCAAAATGTAAACAACAGCCATCTAACTTCAGCGACACGAGTCTGATTTTACACGAGTCTGATTTTAGCCCAGAGGTTTTGTCAGAGGAGCGGAGAAAGAATCACAACTTTCGAGGAGCTCAAGACGACATGCCCTTTACTGTCCAGTTATTCCTTCCTCCTCTCTTGCTCTCCCTACGCACATCTGGCTGTGGGGGCAGAAATCCGCAAGGAAAACCTTCCCTCTCTCGTCCTGGTAAACAGAATCTCCGGTACTGAGGGTTTCACGACCAGAGCACTTGATTTCTCGAATAACAAAAGAAGATACTCTCGCTCACACACAGGGAGAACCTTCCTCGCAGCTTTTACAGCCAACGCGTTGAGGTTTCCAAACAATAGGGAGAAACACCGTAGAAATAACAGTCGGCTGAATTCCTTCCCGTCATTTCGAGCCTGCCTCCCCCGCCCCCCCCAAAAAACAACCCCAGGTCCCATCGCTTCTCGTTTTCGCTCGCTAACGAAGGGAGTCTGAAATCGATCGCCTCTTTAGTTACGTAACTGCGATCTTTTTCTTCTTCTCACAAACACACACGTAACAACTTTGTGATGAGAGCCACTCCGGTGTGTAAGGGAAGGAGGCGGAGGGAGAGATAAGAAATTTGCGAGCATACACACGACCGTAAGAAACTGCAGCGACATACCTGTTCGCCGCACGGTTTCCGTTCACTCGATCATGATTTCCCGCCTTCGGAACGGAACACAATTCTGATGGAGGGTCGTTTACTCACGGATGGAGAGTTCAGACAAACAGTTGTATGGCTGGGCTTTTTTCCCCCCTCCTCTTTTGGCTGGTGTTTGGCTTTGTGGTTGTTTTGGGGAAAAAGCTGCTCCGCTTTCACATCGATCCGGCGCTCTTCTCTGGACCGTCCATGTTCCACGCGGTTCACCTCCCTCTCTAGTATGTGGTTCTTCTTCCTCCTCTTTTTCCCCAAAAAAAGAAAAGACCAGCGCGCCCGTAAGGAGGGTGGAGAACGGGAGGAGGGGGAATCGTTGGACGCTGGCAGCCAGAAAAGTGATGGACCGCTCAGGGACACGTCACGGAAGCCCCGCAGTTTCAGTGAATTCTACTCCGTTTCAGGCGAGTGGCTGCCCTGCTTCTCTGAGGCAAGGGCTGTAGCAAAACAAGAGGCGAAGGGATAAAACCTCGCATAGCCCCATCTAGGGGCGCGCGGCTGAAATGCAAGACGGGGAAGTTTTTGTTTGGGGGTTGGCTTGGGGTGGTTTTTTTGTTTTTTGTTTTTTGTTTTTGGCGGGGGGGGGGAAGAGAAGCTTGTTTCTTTTCCAGCGTCTAATAGGCCACATAGAATTTTTTTACTGTCTGTGCAACCAATCGGCTTCGTTTCTGGGGAGCAGTTTTTTTTTTTCCTTTAAAGCAAAACTGGGGTATTGGAGCCCATGCTCACAACATACTAGGAGTCCTGGGACTTTCTAGTTAGCAGGGTCTATGTGACATGGCTAAACGACGACAACGTGACATTTGCTGCTCACCTCAGACTTCTCTGTGCTTAGCTGCAGTCTTTACAGAACTGGGAAAGGAATGCATTTCCTTGTTGTGATGCAAAGTGTTTGAGAGGAGTCTTCGTCGTCTAGTCATTTAGTTGTGTCCGACTCTTTGTGACCCCATGGACCAGAGCACGCCAGGCCCTTCTGTCTTCCACTGCCTCCCGTAGTAGTGTCAAATTCATCTTGGTTACCTCGATGACACTGTCCAACCATCTCATCCTCTGTCATCCCCTTCTCCTCTTGCCGTCGTCTTCAGGGGGTGTTTATTAGGGTTGCTTGCTCCTGGTCAAAAGAAGCATTGCTAGAACACATTGGTTCATATCGATCAATCCAGCAACCTGCCTTTTTGGACCTTTATAGGGTTGGATGGCTAAAGGGACTGTCATGGTGAGCACTTGCTCCTTCAAATTTACTACAATACTGATATGCACTTGTAGTGTTTGGGACTCATAGTTGCTTAAAAGTTTGAGTACAACATATCCTACATAGTCAGGAAAAATAACAACCTGCTAGAAAAGAATGCAGAAAAAGACAGAGTTTGAGAACATCCATGCTAGACAATAAAGTTTGTTCTTCTAAACCAGATGAAAAATGACACCAACAAGGGTTTGTACAGTGAAGCGTGCATGTTTTAAAAATGGGAAAGGGTGTCAAATCTCAACCATTGCTGACTCTCTCCTCTTCTTGTTCCATACATCTATGTGATTGTATCATGTGGAACTGGGTGCAATGATTCAGCATTTCTAGCTCCTGCAGTTCAGATAAGAGAACAATTGTTGTGTTCAGTGGTCATTTATCTCTGATAATCTGTTGTTCCGGGGGATACTGTCTGATCACGATTGAAGATACACTGTTGGACCCAGAGTTGGGTCCAGGACATTCTATGGCCTGAGGTGAAGGACAAAATTGTATCCTTTGTCATTTCCATGTGCAGAAGTCTTCTGGACTGCATCTTATTTCACTTGAGAAGAATCTTCCAGTCAACCTGATGACAGAAAGCTGGAGACATGGCAAATGTTGCTTTGTCGTTTTGTACCATTTTGCTTCTTCTTACCCCTCAACATTCAGCCATTTCACTTTTCCTAATGACAGGGCCAGTCTGAGTTCTTTGATCTCATTCAGCAAGGCAGTTATTATTGAGGATCAGATAAGTGCTCCGGGCAAATTGTTTTCTCAATAGGAACCAGTAAGTGATCCCTCCCATTTATTTTTTCACAAACCCCTGTATTATACAGCTGTGCATTTAGCCGAGATACCAAAAATAGGCTCCAACTCTGTACAACAGGTTTTCTTTTCTTTCACTCTGCCCTGACCTCTGTATATCTCCACAGCTCCACATTCATGCAGAACACCGAGTGATAGGACACCATGTTTGAATGGACAAACTCTCTGTGCTTTGCTCATGGAGATACTAGATCCCCCCCCCACAACCATACATCTGAATAGAAAGAACAATGCTTCACCCATATATCACAAGATCCAGTGGCATCCTGAAAAACATGTGGAATCTCTCTTTTCATGGTCAGCTAAGAGTAATCACTTTCTTAATTACTTAATAATATGCTTTATCCATGATTGGGACTTTGCTCTCAAGATTTTCACAACCACTGAGACAAAAAGCATGAAAAAGATCCCTCTCAAATTTCTCCAAATGTTCATAGTCTACTCTCCACCCATATTAACGGGAACATCTGGCCTGGACCAAGATGTTTTGCTTTGCTGTCAGAGTGAGGGAAAGATGAGGCAAAATGGGCTGGAAGCTGAATTTTCCTTCAACACTGGCAAGGGGACAATATCTGATACTATCCTGAGGGCATCAATCCTGTTTAAAGTATAGAAGAAAACTGTATACACACACATTTTTCCTTTAGCAAAGGAAAATGGACTGGAGGGGGGCACGCAATTTCCTTGTGTCTCTAACATTTGCTGCCTGAGGCAGTTGCCTTGCTCTGCCTAATGACAGGGCTGGTCCTTGACATTACTAACATCATTGGTGACATGTTTTCATAAACTATTTGTTCCACCTCATCTAGTAACCTCTAGTAATGCCATTTTTAGTTTCATTTCAGCACTGACAGGGAATTAAAAGGGTATATATATTTTCTGCTATTGTGTGGTTGAGGCAATGCTGGTGTCTTATGGAGATGATACCATCTGTTTGGAAAAATTTCAGAGCAAGCTGTACACTAAGAATGGGAGGGGAACAAAGACAGCAGTGGGTGGAAACATACTAAATAAGCTTTGTTATTTGAGTCATACCATAGGGAAATTCCCCTTGCCCTTTCTTCAGTTTTTTTTTCAGTGACTCCGATGTTTGGCAGCTCAAATTCTGAGGCAGAGAAGTTTTAAATCAGAAATTCCATCAAGATGCTGCTCAGAATGGTTTAGGTAGCAAACAAAAATTGCATTCTAGCTGTTATTCTTCCAGACATTAATTAAGAAATGTAATGATCACAAATCCTCATCTCCCCTCCATAGCTAGCAAGAGCTCCCCATGTGGTTGCTGAATTTAGATATGAGATTACAGGGCAAACTCCCACTGGTTAACAAAAGCTTCTTCCTAATATAAGGAAGTTGTAACATTATTGCTATAATTCTGTTGCAAAAATCAACCTGGTTATTTTGAAAATCTTATTTTTTAAAAAATACAAGGATATACTTCTTTCATGTCTTTGGTTTTTTTAAAGTAAAGTCCAAGAAGTAATTTGAATATGCAAATATTTCAGTATCAAACACAATTTTCATTTTAACTTCTTTTATTATTCTTCCTGACTAGATGCTGTCTCATTCTAAACAACAGGTGTTTGGCTTAGAATCTGTATTCAGTTATGAATTTTAATCTCTTAATCTTCATTGAGATATTGTAGCAGGCTGTAGCATTCAGTAGTTGGCACCTGTCTAACATATAACAGAAAATGCCAAGTTGCCTTGATTTTAATGCCCTCATCTCTATCTCTCCACCACTATCTGGAGGCTTAGTTCATTTCTCCCATGAAGGTAAAGATTCCCCTTGACATTTAGTCCAGTCATGTCCAACTCTAGGGCATGGTGCTCATCCCTGTCTCCAAGCTGTAGAGCCAGCGTTTGTCCGTAGACAGTTTCTGTGGTCACGTGGCCAGCACGACTAGACACGGAATGCTGTTACCTTCCCACTGTGGTGGTACCTATTTATCTAATCACATTTACATGCTTTCAAACTGCTAGGTTGGCAAGAGCTGAGACAAGTAATGGAAGCTCCATCACGTGGATTCGATCTTACGCTGCTGGTCATCTGACCTTGCAGCACAGAGGCTTCTGTGGTTTAAGCTGCAGTGCCACCATGTCCCACTTTCTCCCATGAAAGGCAGCTGTAAATGTTGCTACTTTGATTTAATTTACCATGCAAGTGCCTTGTGATCTTTGATAATCAGATTACAGAACTCTTCCTGTTCTCCTTAGTATGTGACTTTCTTAATTTATATAGGGGATAGAAAAGTAAAAAAAAAAAAATTCAGGAGGTTCGAAATAAATCTTAAAAGGAATTAGAAACAGTGCCAATTAAAAAAATAATAGAAACCAGCAAAATAAGTAACTGTGCTTTCAAGGTGATACCTTTTACCTTTCTATTAAACTGGTACAGCATAAATATTGGGAAATTGTTATTATATCCTTAGTATGACTCCCAGTATAATAGCGCATGAGGTAGGAAAAAAGTTTCATTTTAGAAAAAAGAAGTTTGAAAGGGAGTAATCTTTTAAATCTACATGTTGTATACATCAACAAAAGCAGACGGAGTGATAGAGACATCATGTAGAGGGAAATTATTATCTTATCCCAAATAGAGCATCCTTTTCTTCAATCATGTCTCCATGTTCAATGCAATGATAACAGTGTGATCTGTATGGGTTTGTTATGACTGCCTTAGTAACTGTATTAGTACCCGTTCTGTCTGCAGCCTGGATCCTCCTGGACAGCAAGTAACATAAGAGGCTTCCTCTTCCAGTTAACCTTAGTCAAGCAGCTGTGGCGAGCTCCTTTATACTTGTTAGTTAACCCCCTAGTTGGTCCATTGTCCCTGACTTCCCTGTCAGTCTTTACTGCTTTGCCTCATGGACTAGTTCCCAATTCACCTCAGATGGCAGTCCATGGATCAGCTTTGACTGAAGATAATGTGAGAGGGGCTGACAACTACTCATGCCAACAATCCTTTTCAGAGAAGCAAAGAGGAGTATGGCATTATGGGAAACTTTTGGTGACTTTTGAATTATTTCTGGGGGAAAATGCTCAGACGTCTATTTGTGCCCTTCAAGGGATATGGGGGGGAGGGCAAATTTGCCATGTTCTGAGGGCCCTCAGCATCTGTGAGTTCTCTCTGACATCACAATTATTTAAAATTCAAAATAGTGTGGGGCAAAGGTGAGGTTTAAAGGTGTCTTTTCTAATAAAAATA